TCAAGGCCAGCCTGGTCTACATAGTGAGTTCCAGGACAGCTGGGGCTACAGGGAGACCCTGTCTCAAAAAGACCCCCACAAAAAAAAAATCTTTGCCTACTCTGAGAGTGTTTTTAGCCAGATAAAAATTTTTAAAGAGAAAGAACCATCTTTCTTTAAACAGTTCTTGTTCCAGAGGCAATCCTGGATGTGAAATAACATTTGGAGAAAGGAAGATATTAGAATTTCTGAAAGTAAGCATTTTGTGCTCTTTTAAATTTACTTTTTTAATATTTTACTTCATTTTATTTTGAATGTTTTGCGTACATGTATGTAAGTGTACCACATGCATGCCTGGTGCCTGTGGAGGCCAGAAAAAGGGGTTGGGTCCCCTGGAACTGAAGGAACTGGAGTTAAGGATGGGTGGTGATAGAATGTATGAAAAGCCATGATGCTAATTAGAAAAGCATATAACCATAAATCCCTTAAAGTGGCTAACTGGCCATAAATTGGTAGGCTGGCCTTGCTCAAGTCTTATCAACTGGTCATTTCCTGGACTGAGAGAGACTGTTTATGGAGCCAGACTGTCTCCTCTAGTGCCCTAAGATAGCTCACCTGTCTGAGAAAATAATCTTGGGAGAGAGACCCTCAAGGACACCAGACCCTGTGTTCAGCAGAAATCCCATAGAAGTGGAAACCACCCCTCCCTTGTATGCAGATGCCTTCTTTGAGCAGAAAGGTTTCAGTCGTTTGCTGTGTTCTCTGAATAAAGAGGACGCTTCCCTTGCCTGTTGTAGGTCTGGTTCTGGCTCTTATTTCTAAACTCTAAACTCCTTCCTTTTTCTGCTTTTGTAAATCTAACAGGTGGTAGCAGTCATGCGGGTGCTGGGATCTGAACCTGGGTCCTCTACAAGAGCAGTTAGTACTTTTAATGACATGTTTTTAATCCCAGTACTTGGGAGGTAGAGGTAAGTAGATCTCTGTGCAATAGAGGCTAGCTTGGTCTACATAGAAAACCCAAGGCCAGCTGGGGCTACAAGGAGACTCTTAAAGAGACAAAGGGAAAAAAAAGAAAATCTTGGGACTTAATGCAAGGCCTTACACATGCTAAACAAGTGCTCTAACACTCAGTTCAGCTCGAGGGCTTCGGATTCCCCTGGAACTGGAGTTAAGGACGGTTCATAGCCCCATGTGGGTGCTGGGAATCTAACCCAGGCCTCTGCAAGAGCAGTTAGTGCTCTTAACTGCTGAGCCACCTCTCCAGCCCTGTTTTTGTTTTTTTGAGAAAGGGTCTCCATATAGCCCTAGACAGCCTGAACTCACTATGTAGACCAGGGTGTCCTTGAGCTTACAGAGATCCATCTGCTTCTGCCTCCCAAATATTAGAATTAAATAAAGACACGTGCCTTTAAAATATTCTGTTATGGCTGCTAGGCATGGTGGCTCATGCCTTTAATTCCAGCACTTAGGAGACAGAGGCAGGTGGATCTCTACGAGTTTAAGACCACCCTGATCCATGTATCAAGTTCCAGGCTAGCCAAAGCCATATAGTGGAACCCTGCCTCAAAAATAAATAAAAGTTGGGAAATAGCAAGAGTGAACAAAACAAATACAGACAACTTATTTGAACACATAAAATCTAAAAATGATTAAAAGTATCAAAATCTACTTTTGAAGAAGGAAAAACTGGATAGTCCTTAATTTTCTCACCATGTGTTTGCGTCTCATTCAGAAACAGCTTTAGCTTCCTGCTGCGCAATCCAAACACCTTGGCTGCCTCATACATAAGACCTTGGTGGGTGAGTCCATTCTGTCCAAGTGGATTTTCAAGCAGGAGAGTACCCACAGTTCCCACTAAACACTCTAGAGGAGAAAGAATAAACTGGGTTATTCCTGAGCCTGAGAGCTCACGTTCTAACAGTGGCAGTAACTGCAGACAGCATTAATGGGCGATGCAGAAGGCTTTGAAGTGGGCACAGGAGTGTAGAAGTTGGAGGCCCAGTCTATTCAGAAATAGCCTTAACAGTTCATAGAGGTGAAGAGGAACAAGAAAAACTGACAGGGAACAGAGTTTCAGCAGACAATCAAGTGATGAGCCTGAGGATGCCAGCAAAAATGTGTATAATGAGGATCCTGAAATATCAGGGGGAAAAGGTAGCAATCCATGGGGGCTGTGGATTAAGCTTCCTTCCCCCCCAGAACAAAAAAAGATCACATTTCAAAATTAACAGTTTTGGTACTTAAACAATTCAGTTTCCTATCATTGTCATTTTTACCTAACTTAATCATTTTGTTTCTTGACTGTCAAAGGGATAAAGGTTTTTCTACACAAACATACTAAGAAACAATACCCTCCCCCACCTACTGTACTCTCTGAAGCAGTGTGGCAATTCACATTTAAAAAGAAAATTTTATTTACTATTGTTATTTTCTTTGTATGTACGAGTGTATTGCCTGCACGTATGTAGTAAGTGCAATGCCCACAGAGGTCAGAAGGGCGGCATCGGATCCCCTGGAACTGGAGTTACAGATGGCTGTTAGCTGCCATGTGGGTGCTGGTAACCTGGGTCCTCTGCAAGAGCAGCCAGGGCTCTCAACTTCTGAACCATCTCCAACATACTTTTTTTTTTTTTTTTCTGATAAAAAGGGTCTCACTATGTAGTCCAGGCTGGCCTTGAACTTGTAATCTTTCTGTATCAGTTTCCTGAGTGTTGCAATTACAAGTGTGCATTACACTCATTTGAAAAATGTATCTAAGTCTGAGATTTCAGGCTTGAAGGGAACCTTAATGCCCAGCACCTCATAAGGGGAATGGTGAGAGGCACATACCTTGTGGCTCTGCGTTTAGGAGCTGCAGGTTGATATACTGACACAGCAGGGTGCTGGGACTATTGTTCAGAGATGGGGCTGTTCCTGCAGTCACACGAAGGGTTTTTCCACTGAGACTCAGCAAGTCAGTTTGGTTTTGTAGTTCTAAAAGCAGTAACAACGAAAGTGAAGCCATTCACATTTTCCTATGTTATTAAACAAGCATCTTTTTTACAGTGATCCTGTCTATTTAATTTGCTTCTCAAAGGACATTGCTTTTTCTACAAAGGCAGGCTTTAATGACAAATAGTAGGAACTCTTGAATTTGGATGCGTAGGACTGAACCCAGGGCTTTGTGCATTCTAAGCACAAAATCTACCACTGAGTCCTACACTTCAGCCCTGAAAACAGGTAATCGTCATGCTGCCAAAATAAATGCTGTAATTTTCATCATCTAATTTGTGTGTGTATATGTGTGTGTGTGCTGGGGATCTGGGGATCTGTGCTTGCTAGATGAGTGCTCTACCACTGGGTTAAATCTCCAGCCCTCATAACTTAAAATCCAAGGTAAGTTGTTTTCTTCCCTTTCAGCGTTTTCCCCGTATGATGCAGCTCCTTAAAATTTCATCCTGCTCTGTCAGAATCTTACCATTTCATCAGAAGTTCACCATGAAAAACTGTATCTGAAAATGTTAATTATAGCCAGTAAGTTTTAATTCTTCTCTCTTTTTCTGTGTGTGAGTGCAAGTGCATGTTCCTGTGTGTGCATGTGCAGAGGACAGAGGTTGACGTTGGGTGTCTTCCTCAATCGGTCTCTACCTTATTTTTTTAAATTCAAGTGCCTTTTCCCTATGAGTTATCTCACCAGTCTCACACTTTATTTTTTTGGGAAAGGGTGTCTGGTTGAATTTAGAGCTTGCCAATTAAACTAGGCTGGCTGACAGGGGAGGGGTGGGACCTCCTGACTCCCAGTGTGGATACTGCAGGTGTGCTAGCTTTTTATTTAGGTGGATGCTGGGGATCTCAATTCAGGTCATCATGTTTGCACAGTAGGATCATTATCCATTGAGCTGCTTCCCCAACCCAAGTTATAATTCTTTAAAAGCGTATTCCAGTGTCTAGATTTAGGAAGATTCAGATACTAAGCTTCATAAGGTAAAACTCACCAGGCAGGTCTGAATCCTGATCTACTTCATGGCTATGTGAAATAGTGGGGGATGAAGACCTTGGACTCCTGTAAGTACAGGGTTCTCAGCCATATCACTGAGCCATGAAGACAGACAGCAGGCAAGTGCTGCTGAAGAGCCACTGCTGCCCCAAAGCTGGGAAAACGTAATGACTGCAGCACAATTGAAACAAATGGAGATCCTTCACCAACCCCCATCCAACCAAGGACAAGATGTCCTCTCTACATACCTGTTTCACCATGGAAGACTGACAGCTCTACATTTTTAACACCGAAAATGCTAGTAATGATGCTCTTTAGCTTTAAAAGGTCCAATTTATTATCACCTTTTGGGTTCTCCAGAAGCAATACTCCACCTAAAAAGCCACAAAAACAAGATCTCATTTAATGAAGTCAAACTTGCAAAGTCAAGTGATGCAAAGGATAAGCCCCTTTACCAGTAAATACTATATACCTCCTTAGAGGGGGGTTGGCACGTCTCAGCAGGTTAAGGAATAAATAACTAGGCAATCTGTTCTCGTCTCTTTCCAGATTCAAACCTTTGTATTTATAATTCCCATGTTGCATTTTATGTCCTCTGTAAATTTTCAAGGTAAAGTGGTAAAAAGTACTCTGATTATTATCTTTAAAATATACCCTCAAGTAGCCCTTGATGCTGGCATATCCTAGACCTTAGATTCAATATTTACTATATTGACTTAAACATTTTATTTCGAATAACTGCAGTGCCATGGGAAGTAAGAAAACAAGAAAGTGAGGCCACAAGACCTTTCCCCAGTTTCCCCAAGGGTAGCATCTTACAAGACAGAAGCATAATATTTCAACCAGGACACTGACTTCGATATGACTGTTGATACTATTCAGATTTCTCGATTGTACTTCAATTTTAAATTTTATACCTCTTGCAGATCCGTATCTGTCACCATTTAAGACACAGAAAAGTACTGTTTCTACAAGCAGCCTTATGCTGCCTTTCACTATCCTCCTCAGTTTTTAAAATCTTTTGAGAGAGTCTTTCAGTGGCCTAGAACTCACCACATAGGCTAGGCTGGACGGCCAGCGAGCACTGGGGATCTGCCTGGCCCCGCATTCCCAGAACCTAAATCACAAGTGTGTGTTACCATACCTGGCCTTTTGAGTTGTGGGAATCTTAACTCAGGTCTAGCACTTTACAGACTGAGCAGAGACTCCCCTGTCCCTAGAAGTGTAAGCTTCATTTAACTATTCTTCAGGAACTGGTGTTATATTTTATGAGAGATAGCAAGCATTAAAGAAAGACAGCTGTATCTGCTTCAGCCTACATGTTCATGTATGCCTACATATGATGTCATGTATGTATTTTTCTACCTCTAGATGGTATTACACAATTTTATCTAACTAGCTTTAAAAAATGCGCTTAGGTATTCATTCACTCAGGTATACAAACAAACACAAATGAACTTAGAGGTTCATGTGACTTGGGTAATGTTTGTTAAATAAGAATACTGCTGTCTTGCCACAACTCCCCATGGTTCAAAATGAGTTCTTTCTATTGGTCTACTTCTTTCCTTTATTTTCTATTTTATTTTGACATACAAAGAACTAGGAGCATGTAAACTGAATGAAAATAGACAATTAATATAATAGCCACAAACACTAGTGTCTTGAAGACAACAAAATTGTGTGTAGTGCACGAGTGGGTGCTGTGTGTGCACCGGCAGAAGCTAAAAGAGGATGTGAAATGTCTTCCAGTGCTTTCTGCCTTGAGAGAAGGTCTTTCACTGAACCAAACTCAACATTTTGGCTAGGCTGACTGGCCAATAAACTCCTAGGGTCAACCCATCTCTGCCTCTACAATACTGAACTTACAGGCAAGTCATGCCCAGAGTTTTCCATGAGTGCTGGGGATTAGAACTCAGGTCATCATGCCTACAGAACAAACACTCTCTTACCTACTGAACCATCTCCCCAGCCTTGATCAGTGATTTTTATATTGAAATATAGACACTTTAGGTTACCAGTATCATCTGTTTTAGCTGACTTTGACAGCACACTGGCAGGAGACAGGGTGGCACTGCCTAGTCATCTCCAGGTAGAAGCAGTTAACTCTGAGTTCTCTATCAGCCTATACTGACACCAAGTTCAGGATTCCTGGCCATGGTGCCAAGGGGAGGTGCTCTTATTCTCCACTAAGTTTCTATCAATACCTCCCAGATCAGAAGCATAGCCTCTTTATTGCTCAAAATGGGGTCCTGGCTTTATTACTGTCTGGCAATAGAAGATGAAGTTCTCCACACGGTCTCTATGATATCACTGGGCAGAGGGGCTTGCTACTGCTTGGCTAGGATGAAAGGTGGTCTCTGCTACCCCTATGGCCATGGTGGGGGGCCTGAGGATCCTCAGTCTGACAAAGGTGGAAGTCTGGCTTCCATTTTGCCTTTGAGGTGGGATGGTGGCTGGATAACCTTTTTTCCACCTTGTGTGTGCGGAATAGAGCAATTACTGTCTTTATGCCTTGCTAAGTTGCTCGTGTCCTAATCCTTTCTTTGGGGAAAGCAGAACTTTATCGAGGCATCTACTGGCACTTCTAGGTTGCCATTTGGCCCAGGTTTGTGATAAATGAGGCAAACCCAGGGGAAAAAAAAAAATCAAAGAAATTGTCCACTACTGTCACTTGGCTTCAGGGTATCTAGCAGGCTACTATCTTCTTTCTACCCAGAAGATTCTTATGTTTGTTTTTGTGTAGAATGCTCAGGGTGTTTAGATCTGCTTAGCAGGAGGAAGAGGGAAAAGCATGTTTACTCTAACGCAAGTTTGTATGTGTACGCAAATCTATGACTTCCATTATTTAATGGACTCATTTGGGTGACAGATAAAAGTTATCTAATTTTACCTATTCTCTTATGACAACCTTAAAGGTTTACATAGAATTAACTAAAAAAAATGTTAAATAGTGGGACATACTTGTAATCCCAGTACTCAGGAGGCAGAGGCAGAAGATAGTGAGTTCAAAGCCAGCCTGAGCTACATATACAGTGAGACCCTATCTCAAAATAAAATAAGCCATATGAACTATGGAATTAATTTGCTCTTACCTTGTTCAGTGCCATTGACACAGATGTTAAGGTTTACATAGGCACAAGCAGGACCAGGTACACATGATCCTTTAGTGAGTGTAATTTCCAGTTCAGACCCCTTTAACTGAACACAGGAGAGCACACGATTGATTAACAGCAGCATCTGGCTGAAGTGAGCCCCACCCTCAAGTAGCATACTAGTACTTAGTAAGAAAAGCTTTTAAAAGTGAAGAGCTGTAATTCGTGCCTGTATTTTTCCTCTTTTTACTTTGTTCTCCTAAAAACAACTTTTTTCTAATTATGTAAACAACATACGCTTATTTTTTTATAAAGTTCACTAAGTAAACAATATGTAAAATAGAAAAATGAAGCTATAATGCATCTTATTGCCTGAAAAGGCAAAGAGCTACTTTTAGCCCCTCTCTGCCTATCGTATTTGTACGAATGAGACAAGGAGGAAATGAATGAATAGATGACCCACTTCTGAGTTATGGGCCAGTAGTTTTCACGTCTTGTACCGAATTTTCATAGTAACAGCTAAAAGCACTATACTGTATGTAACAGGAAATGCTATGGGATATATAACCTATTAACAAGTTAAATACTTAAAAATGTTTTTAAATTGTATTTTATTTATTGTGTGTCAGGGGGTGGTGGTGTACGAGGGCCACAGTGAGCATGTAAGGTCAGAGGACAACTTTCAGGAACCTGTCCTCTCCTACCATGTGGGTACCAGGGATTAAACTCAGGTTGTCAGAAAAGTTATCAGGACAGCTTCCAAAAAATTCAATACTTTTCAAGGCAGTTGTGGTTTAATTATAATGACCAGAATCCACAGTATCGGCTAGTTTTAGATAAAGAGGGTCCGTATAGCAAACACCCCCTGGCAAATCACACATTGCCTTCTGGCTACCTTCACTGAGAGAACGGCCATGGGGACAGTTCTGCTGCCTTCCTTTCCCCTTCTCCACTTCTGGTCATCCTCTCTGACCAAAGTTACCCACTGCCACCCAGGGCAGCACTTCAGCCCTGAAAATGACACCAATCTCTACTGCCTGTGTGATAGTAATGGTTGTTAACGTGTCAGGATCTGTATCACCTAGGAAACAGGCCTTTAGGCAAACCTATGAAGGATTATCTCTCTGGATTAGGTTAACTGAGGTGAGAAGGCCCAGCCTAAAAGTGGGCAGCAATGTCCACTAAGCTTGGGCTTTGTCCTGTGTAAGGGAGAAAGCCAGCCAAGCACCAGTATTCGGTGTTCTCTGCTTCCTGACTATGGACGCAATGTAACCAGCTGCCTCACATTCCTGCCGGCATGGCTTCTCCACCCTGAAACTAGAAGTCAGAAGAAACCTTTCCTTCTTTTTGTTGCTTTCTCAGACTATTTTATGACAACAGGAAAATTAGACGGTGGGTTAGAATATCAAGGTTTAAGTAAATAAACTTAAAGGAAAACCTAACAGGAAATCTTTCAGGATTTTTTGCTACCTAGAACTTACCTGTGTTTGTTCTTGAATAAGGATGTTATCTGATGTAGGAACTGGATATGGTTTCAAGGGAGCCTTTATAGTGGCAAATATGAAGTCAGTGTGGCTTTCAATTACATTATTCAGGTATCTTCCTTCAGATTTTGCATTATAATAGACTGTTATTTCATCAGTTGGAACTAGATTGCACTAAAAGAGCACACAGAAAATTTAAATGAGAAGCACATTTTGTTGACCAAACTTAAGGTACTATTGAAAAAGACTAACAACCCTAACACTGAATCATCATGGAAGGCCTGCCTGCCCATCCTCCTCAGGTGATCTAGAAGACTGGTTGTCCTGCAGCATGTGGCTTGCTTTGTGCTCTTTTACCCACTTTTCTTTGCAGGGGAAAGGAGGGATAGGGCAAAACTTTCAGAGCCCAATCAGCCCTTCATGAATGTTGAAACAAAAGAGCAACTACAAACCCATTTGCAAAGCTCTGAACTGGGATGTCATACACAAGTGCTCTGTTACTTACTGGACTGTCCTCCTCAGACTCTGAACCATGAGGCTAACATTAGGGAAGAAAACCTGTGGGAGCCTCCCTATCGTCAATGTCTCCTGGGATAACCACACCATCGCCTAGTAGGGGATAAGAACTAGCTCTCTCACCTGATGGGGCTCAGTGGTCCCTTTCTCTCCAGGCAGTGGGCTATGTGTGTCTTCCTTACCTCTCTAACAAGGAAAAATCACCCCCATCTGTTCAAACAGGGAACTCTCTCTCCTGAGCTGGAAGCCCTCCCACACTGACTCCCGTACTGTCGCAGATGTTCATCACCATCTCTGGTTACTTCTGTAGCAGCCAGAGTCATCTCTTTTGGCAGAAAATTCTGTGGAAGCCCAAAGCACTGATAAAGGATGAAAAGGGTACAGAGTGGCTGAAAACTCTTGATCAGGGAAACAGAGTGGTATCCACCCTGGGAGTGAGTAGGGAGAGGGAAGGGCTTGACTTCCCTATAGAGATCAGTCAGAGTAGACTACAGACTAATGAACCATTAACATCACTTGGTAACTATGGTTTATTTATACTTCTCGCCTCTCCTGTCCTCTCCAACATCTAAAAGAAACCTAGCACAAATCTAAAACTGCAACTTGTCCCTAAACTGACCTTCTTTCGAAGTTTCTGGATGCGATTGATGACTTCCCGAGCCATTCCTTCATCCACCATAGACTGGTCGGGTGTGATGTCTAAGAGAACCAAAGCCTATAGAAGGAACAGTGCACATCATGACAATCAAATAAGACCATGTCCACAAACAGTGAAATAGCTTCGCAGGCAGGGGCACTTGCCACCAAGCCTGATGACCTGACTTGGATCCCTGGAACCAACGTGGTAGAGACAACTGACTCTTGTAAGTTCTTCGACCTTACTTGTGTCCAGTGCCCATGCATGCAAAATAAATACATAAATGTAAAAAATAAAACTTTTTTAAAAAAAGTCTAGTGAAATGCTATTTAAAACTAAATTCTGTGAGTTGGGCATGGTGGCGTACACTTGATCCCAGCACTCCGGAGGTAGAGGCAGCTAACAACTGTCCATAATGCCAGTTCCAGGGGATCCGATAGCCTCTTCTGTCCTCCGCGAGCATTGCATGACACGGGTGCACTTACCTACATGCAGGCAATACACTCATACACATTAAAAAAAAAAAAAAATTAACTGGTTTGTTTTACCTTGAGACAAGCTATCAAGACAGGAAAAGCATGTGTAAAATATTTTCTTATGTTCTCAGCAGAAAAATATTCTAGGAGGGGGGGGCATGATAGCTCAAGCCTGTAATCCCAGTACTCCAGAGTTAGAGGTACATGTGTAAAATATTTTCTTATGTTCTCAGCAGAAAAATATTCTAGGAGGGTGGGCATGATAGCTCAAGCCTGTAATCCCAGTACTCCAGAGTTAGAGGCAAGAGTTCCAGGTCATCCTCAGCTACAGTGAATTCAAGCCAGCCAAGGAAACATGACATCTTGTCTCAAATAAGAATCTTTAAGGGAACAGAAAAATACCTGAGCATCAGAATGTGCTTCAAACTGCGCAGTCCCTCCAGTGGCCTGGTCAAAGGTGTACATGAGGCGAATGTCTTCTTCATGCAATTCGTGGCCTTCCACGACAATGCTCCCTATGGGAGAACAGACAATCTTTGAGCTGCCCTGCCAGCAGCACACTGTGCTCCTCTTTAATGACCCTGGTGCTCTGTCTGGTAGCAGGGATGGTCTGGGTGAAATGAGGGAGCATGGTGGAGTTCTGGGCACTGTGCCTAACCAGGGCAGGGAGAAGAGTGTGTGGATGGCTGCTGGTGTGTGATACCCTCCTTTAGGGGAAGCCCACTATGGTCTTGTAATTATCCTGTTGGTTTTCACACCCGGGCTATTATTTTTAGGTTCCTGTGTTCTGAACCTGTATTCCACTGGAACAGACTAGTTCATTCAGAAATTTCAGTTTTAGAAGTTTTAGGCTTTCAGTTTCCAATAAGGCTTATTTTATGAATTTTTGATGTTTTGGCTACCTGGTTAAATGACCTACATTTGTAACTTGAAAGCTAATCAAATCTCTTCCTAATTGAATATTGGATTGAATTAGTAACGACTCAAGTTTTAGATGTGAACCTCTTATATTTTAATTGTCTATAAAAATCTGGGAGGCTGGAGAGATGGCTCAGTGGTTAAAAGTACTGGCTGTTCTTGCAGGGGACTCACATGGTGCCTAACAACCATTCAAAACTCTAGTCGCAGATCTGATGTCCTCTTCTGGCTCTGCAGGTATTGCATGCATGTGGTACACTGACATAGAAGCAGGCAAAACACTGAGACACATAAAATTTAAAAAGCCAGGTGTGGTGACACAGGCATTTAATCCCAGCAAAGGCACGTAGACTCTGAATTTCAGGTCAGCCTATTCTACACAGTGAGCTCTAGGCCAGTCCTTAAGTACATAGTGAGCTCCTGTCTCAAAAAACAATAACAACAAAAATTTGTGGGAATCTTAGGAACACTCTCCCAATTTCTGTTTCTTAGATTCCCAAGTCATTAAACTCTCTCTGCTTACCACATCTTCTAGCTTACTATGATTTTTTTTAGATGCAGAAAGAGCCCTAATAACAAGTACTATGTGTCCCAGGGTGACTACAGGATGCCAAGCAGTCATAATCGGACCAAAAGTGAGGTGATCATGGCATAGTGGCAAATTCCTGGGTACCCTGAAACACTCTTTCTTGGGGTGTGGAGAGGAGCTAAGATGTCCTCCTAACCCTGTAGGCTGGTTAGGCCTCTGCTACGGGGTCTCATATTACCTTATACTTTGTCTTCATAGCATTTTTAAGTCTCTAGTGTCTGTTGGTATGTAACAGTACAGACTTTTATTTAACTCTATATTGTACTTTAAAAATATTTGCTAACTGAACAAATCCATCCTTGTCCAAGTAAAAGACTAAGATAAGGATTCGATATATTTTAGCCTATGTACGAGTAGAGTGGTGGAAAGGTCTATTCAGTTCTCCTTAGCAAGACCCCAACCCTTAACACCAACTCTCTGGCCTCTGAAACACTACAATCCTTTCTTTTGAGTAGCTTCCAGTGTTCATTCCAGTACCTCCAAAAGTCAACAAGAAAAGAACTGGATGCTCCTGGAACTTGATTGGGAAGGCTTGGGGAGTTCTTTCTCATGAGGAAGGCAGATTTCCAGGCCATATGAGTACTTGTAATTCAATGGTAACCCAAGCCCACCTGACTCAGTAATTTCTATCTAGCTATCTACCGTAAGAAATCAATTCTCTAAAATACTTACACACAAAACATTCACTACAATACTATTTATACTATCGAAAGACTAGAAAAAACTAAAGTTTCAATAATAAA